GCCAGCTGGGGCTACAAGGAGACCTGTCTCAAAAATACCAAGAAAAAAAGAGCATGGGGCTATGACAGAGATGTTGGTAGGCTACTCAAGCACTCTGTGGCTAGGAATAAACCAGCCTACCCCTTGTTGAGACTTGATTTCCAAAAGATACCCATAGCCTGGCAGTGAGGCACGAATACCAGCACTTGGGATGTAAAGGCAGAAAGATGAGGACTTGAAGGCCAGTCTTAGTAAGTTGGAGGCCAGCCTGAGCTACATGAGGCTCTGATTCAAAAAATAAATAATATTGCTCAAGTAAAGAACCCCCCACCTATGCTCAGGAAGCATCCCTAATTAAATGTAGCAGGACACACACACACACACACACACACACACACACACACACAACCACAAAAGACAGGAAAATAATGGAAGTAGGAGAGGGATTTGCTCAGAAGAAGAAAGGATTCTGTGGGAAGAGAATTCAATAAGAGACAATAGTGGAGGGAATATGAGCAAAGTACATTATACATACATGTATATGAAGTTGTGAAAGGATGAATTTAAACAACAAACAACAAAATAATTAAAAATATCCTTCTTATTTGGAGGGGTACTAGGGGTTGGATGAGGGCCTTGGGTATATTCAGCATGTACTCTATCACTGAGGTACATCTTAAGCCCCTAAAAAAAATCTACCCTTTTCAGGTATGAGGTTATACCTGGAAACACTTTGAGAATTTTGAGGTCCTAGAGGATCACATTGTGGTATGCCCGTATAATAGAATATTACTTATCCTTAACAAGGAAGGAAATACTGACATATGTCACCACATGGATGGGCCTTGAGAACATGGTGCTAAGTGAAAGCAATCAAACAAAAGGTCACATATTCTACAATTCTCATGCAAAATGTCCAGAATTGGCAAACCTATAGAAACAGGAAGCAGATTGATGTTTTTTTAGGGGCTAGAAGGGAAAATAGAGTCCCCCATGGGTCTCTGGTTTCCTTTTGGGGATGATAGTGGTTGTATAACATTATGATTTTTTTTTCAAGATTTATTTTATTTCTAATCATGTTGTCAGTGTATGTGTGTGGGTGTGTGCATGTATGTGTGTAGGTGCCCTTGGAGTCCAGAAGAGGGTGTCAGAGCCCTTGTAGCTGGAGTTACAGGTGGTTGTAAGCTGCCAGTCATGAGTGCTAGTAATCAAACTTGGGTCCTTTGGAAGAGCAGTCTGTGCCCTTAACCAGTGAGCCATGTCTCCAGCCCCTGTATTATGATTGTTTTAAATGTACTTGAGTTGTGTATTTTATTTGGGTGTGCATGTGCAGGTATGCATGTTTTCGTGTGTGCAGGTGCTTGTATAGATGCACAGTGTACATGCACCTGGAGGCTAGAGGTCAACTTTGGGTGTTATTCTTCAGGAATCATCCACCTTAGTGAAACAGAGTCTCTCCCCGAGACCTAGAGTTCACCCATTTTGCTAGTCTGGCTGGCCAGAGAGCTCCAGGGCACCTGCCTCCTGTTTCGGCCTCCCTAGCATTGGGATTACAGGTGTGTGCCACCACACTGGGCTTTTAAAATATTTTATTATCTTTATTTTATGTGTATGGGTGTATATTGCCTACATGTGTGTAAGTGCACTCATGTCGTGCAATGCCCTCGGAGGGCAGAAAAAGGTGTCGGATCCCCTGGAACCAGAGTTATGGATGGTTGTTAGCTGCCACGTGGGTGCTGGTAATTGAATCCAGGTCCTCTGTAAGAGCAGTCAGTGCTCTTAACGGCTGAACCATCTCTTCAGCCCCCACACTGTGTTTTTTTTTTTTTTTTTTTTTTTTTTTTTTACAAGGGTTCAGGATATCGAACTCAGGTCCTCATGGCAAGAACTTTACTAATTGAGCTATCTCCTCACCCCTGAATTGTATATTTTAAAATGGTTAAAATGGCAAATTTCATATAGTTTTCAGCATAACTTTAAAAAAGCAAACCAAAATTAAACCAAAAACCATGTGGAGGTTAACCAATTTGAGAAGTCTTACATTGTACACACAGCCTCCAATTCACTGGTGGCATTCAGAGCCCAGCAGTAGGCACATCTCCACCAGGGAACCCAGTAGCAGAGCTGGGGTGGGGGAGGGGAAAGAACCAGGAGCTAGGGACATCAGAAAAGCTTCCTTCTGGGTGATATTTGTTTCATAGATTGCCAGTTGTTCACCCTGTTTGTATTTAAATGAAAGGAGGCTTTGAAGTGGGAGCCGCCTCTGAGGAGAGATCAGGGTTCCTGCCTCCTCTGGTAAAAGTTCAGACTTGTCCAGATCTGCCTGTAGCCAGAGGTTACTGTTTCTGGTGGAAAAGGCTCAAGTTGGGTTAATAATACATTAAGAGAAAGAGGGGCAGTGACTTGAGGGGAACAAGAAACAAGCAATGAGTTCCTCCTGAGCTTGGGGTGAGAAGCAGCATTCCAATTTGGCACTTACAGCTTTGGAGAATCCTTTTCTCTCAGTCACCGAATTTTTTTTTTTTTTGAAAGTGGATCTTGTGTAGCCCAGGCTAGCCTCAAACTTCCTTTATAGCTGAGGTTGGTCTTAAATTCCTCATTCTCCTGCTTATACCTTACAAGAGCTGAGACTAGGTGTGCAACACCATATCCAGCTCTCAATTTAATTTTATTTAAATTTTATTTTTGAGAATTTCATACATGACTGTTGTTTTATTATTAATGTTGGTTGCATCTCAGACCACATTCTTGTTGAAGATTCTTAAGTAAATGCATCAATGAAAGGTAAAGTGCTGAGCTAAGCCCTAGCAATGCTTTGAGGACCAAACAGTTATTAGTTTAAGGATAACTGGGAGTATTCAAAAGTTCCTTGAAAATGGTAGAAAACTCAGTGGAACTAAGTTTGCATAATTTAAGGGAAAAATGCTCTATTTCAGAGTCAAATATGTTGCCAGTCCTCAGAAACTGGAAGTCCCAGTCATAGACCGGTCACAATCTATTTATGCTGATAGTCTACAGACTAATACAATGCTAAGGAGTCTGCAGTGGGCATTCAAAACAGCTGCACTGGTCTCTACAGCTCCACCTGGCCAACCGTGTCAACGCGGTTCACAAACAACAGTGGAGGAAGTCTCAACAAACCTTCTGAGGGTGATAATTGTAATGATGGTTCATATCTTCACCCTATGTAATTTTATGGGAATTGAAAGTCTAGCCAAATAATAAGTTCCAGCCCTTTTCATCTGCCCAGTTCCCAGCACATTCCCGAGGTGTCTGAGGCACTTCTCACCCTAACCTCTTAAAGCAGATTGTAACAATAACATCAGTAATGACAAGTTTCCAATCTGCATGGTTCCCTTCATTAAAGCAGCGCTGGGAGCTTCAAAAACACTCATTAATGGAATCTGACAAAGCTCGGAAGGTGGGAAGGTGGGAATACTCCCCCATTCCCAGGTTTCTTGTGGCTAAATGTAGACTTGGTCCCAAAGGGAAGGATTGAAGATCCTGGGCTACCATCACTCCCTGTGATTCCCGAAGTCCAGGGTTTGAACCCACCTCCAGTACCTAGGTGCTAATTACAAAGTCGTCTTCGGAACCTCAGTTCAGTGTGGAGCTGGAAGGTCTCCCAAACAACCCAGATTTTGCCTTATCGCCCGGATCAGAGGTTTCCCCCCCGCCAGCTTGAAGAGTTTGGTTAGACTTGTAGCAGAACCCAGGGTGGGTGGGGGTGGGAGCTGAGTATTGTGTGGAGATGAAGGAGGGCTGAGAAAATGCTTGCCAGTCAGACACAACCCGGTGCCCAGGAGTGAGTACAGTGTGATGGGAAGAAGATCGAGAAAGACCAGGTGAGGCTCCAGGGCCAGCTTAGAGTTCCAAGTCCCTCCTCCAGAGTGAAACAATACAAGTAACGTGGGTGGGTGCCTTCCTGGCCCTGCTCCTGATTAGATGTGTCCCTCGGTGCCGCACGGCAGGTATTGTGGCTCCAGGGCTCCGCGTGACTTTGGCACGCGAGGACAGCCCGTCAGGTGGATGTGGGGGGAGGCTTGTGGCTCAGACACCGGTTTAAAGCCCCCAAGTCCCACGCCACCCAAATCCCAGGGACTTGGGCCCTTAAAGCCGGGAGAAACTGGCCTTTCCTCTCAGGGTGCAGGGCGGGGGGCAGGCTCCCAGCCTCCCTGGAGGAGGGCAGAAGGGAGGAGTCGGGCGGGGCGTGTGGCGTGAGGGAGTGCCGCACGCCCGGTGCGGCCCCCAAGGAAGTGGATTTGGCCGCTCCGGATCCAACCCAGCTTCCAGGTTTTCTCCAGGCCCGGCCCTGCGAGCTCCCGCCTGTCTCGGGCTCCCCCCCCACCCCGCCCGCCCCCTTCCACCCTCCCTCCCCAAGGGCCGCCCGCTTGGCCAAGTTTGCGAAGCGTCGCTGCGCAAGCCGGGCCAGTCAATCTGCGGCAGAGCTGAGAAGGGCACAGCCGTGCGGCCGAGGGCAGAGTGAGCCGAGCCGAGCCAGGCGATCAGAGCAGCGCCGGGTAGCTGGAGTCCCGAGCCAGCGATCGCCGGCCGACACCGCCCACACTGTTCGCGCTCCCGCGGCGCCTGCCACCTTCTCTTCCTTCCTTGCGCCCCTCTGCCCCTAGCCCGCCGGCCACCTGGTCCCGGATCGCTAGATCGCGGATCGCCGGGGTCACTGATCCTCGCCCTCTCTCCCTTGGGTCAGGCGCCCATTCCACGCGTTCTTCCTTCTCCTGGACCCCGGCTAGGCGCCTGGCACTGGGGACCGTTGCCTGACGCGAGGCCCAGCTCCACTT